CCTTAAAAACCTCTAAGGAAGGAGATTCCACCACCTCCCTAGGTAACCCATTCCAGTGCTTCACCACCCTCCTAGTGAAATAGTGTTTCTTAATATCCAACCTAGACCTCCCCCACTGCAACTTGAGACCATTACTCCTTGTTCTGTCCCTCTGGTTCTTCCTTTGCAGTTCAACCTCTGCCAAAGGGCTGGGAGTGAGTTGCTACTGGTAGAAAAGCCAGCAAGCAGGATGGAGGAGCCTTGATCTGTGCCCCATATTACTGCTGCTGTCCCGAATCTGTCCATGCTTTGGGGAGGGAGTGCATCCGTCCATACAGAGGATTTACTGAGCGTAATCCCTCTGCCAAGCTTCCCCCCCCGCCCCCCCCCCCCCCCCCCCGCCGACCCACTCTCGCTGAACAGGACCAGACGGCACATCAGAAATCAAGGGAGAAGTGTCCTGAGGACTGTGCTTCTGGGATGTCTGATGTTTTGGGCGTGGCGGGGCTGTGGTTAGGGCCCAGGCTGGGAGCGGGAAGGCCTGGGCTGTATTCCCAGATCAGCCCTGGAGTCGCCGTGTGACCTTGGCTTGTCAGTCACCTCTCTGTGCCTTGGTTACCATGTGTGTAAAAGGCGGACAGGGCGTGTCAGTGTATGCCAGGGGTGTGGAGAGGGGCGGGTCAATGACTGTTTATGAAGAGTGCTCTCCTCCAATGGAAGTGCCAGGTATTTCCGTGTCACCGCATAGGGAATCATGGGATTAGATTGCTCTGTGGAAACAGACATACCTGCATTTCAAGCCGAGGGCCTCAAAGCATTTCCCAAATGTTAATTAAACCTCACGCCACCTCCTGACAGGCAGCTGAGTATCACCTGACCCATTTTACAGGTGGGGAAACTGAGGCACAGAGTGAGTCACACAATGACTGACTGAGGCAGGGATAGAACTCAGGAGTCCTGACTCCAAGCCCATCTGCACCAACCAGAAAATAACACCACCTTCCTCTCCCCTGCTGGCTTGAACTGGGAGCAGTGTGACTCCGTGGATGTGGTGGCTGGGTCTGGGAGCCCTCGTCCATGGTGTTACAGCTCATTCTTGGACGCTCTCAGTATGTTCCTGCATTCTTTACAGGCTGCCCTGGAGTCTTAGGGCTCTGTGGCCTGATCCTGGGAGGTGCTGAGTGTTTCTTGCTGCCATTCAAGTCAGTGGTAGTTGAGAGTGTTCAGCCCTTGAGAGACCAGTAGCGCTAGGTGCCTATGATTTTGCACCCTGTTTTCTATCTTGGGCAGAAGCAGACAGACCTGGGTACCATTCCAGTGGGGCTCAGGAGAGCCCCATAGCACAAGATCCTCCATCCCCCCAGTGAAGAGGGTATCTGGAGTCCAGTTCCCTCACCCACGGGCAGCCAGCACTGTGATGACCAGGCGCGATCCTTAGCCCACACTTGGCATATTGGCGTTGCACATTGGTCCCAAGCTGGTGTCAACGAATGCTCCAGTCAGAAGCGACATGTTGTTACTCATTGTCTCTGCTCCCCTGGTCTCTCTGTCGCTCCCTGGCCTCCCAAGGGGTTCCCCATCAGCTTGGCATGGCAGGAGATGACATTTCTAACCATCAGGCCTGGGATCAGAAAATCCACTCAGCTTCTCTGCTGTACGGCGAGCCGGGAGCTGCAATCGGCTGCAATGGTGTTGATGATACACGAGGTTGACTAGAATGCAGGCCGCTGTCTTGGCTTTGCCGAGCGAACAGGAATAGCAACTTGTTTGTGTCAGAAGCAGATCTGACTCAAGGAGCGAATGACTCTCTGACGCTAGCTGCCCTTTAAACAAAATCCACACTCGTGCTAGCCTTACTCCCGCAGCGTTACATAACCCACAGGCTGATGGCTGAAGGTCACTGGGAGTGGAAGGTGTCCAATAGTGCTCTGCAATCACACCTAGAGCGTTCCAGAGAGCAGCTTGTGGGGAAACTGAAAAATCACCCTTTTCTTGTCCTACTCATCAAATAGCTAAGCACTAGGCTAGGCAGCCTTTTCTGGATGCTTACGGCATAAGATGCCGCTATGTAGAGGTGTGCAGTGCAGCACCCATCCCGAATGTAGCTCGTCCGTGTCAGTCACTCCAGTGGCTAACTCAGCACTGAAGGGATGACTTACTGATTGAAGCATCAAGTGTGAACTGCTTTGTTTCCCTTCAATGGTTGGTTCAGATCCTGGCAGAGTCAAGTCAGCCAAACTAAACTTCCCAGGTGCATCAGTGGCGTTCCACCACGTTTTGCTGGGTTGGGTGGAATTTTTTCAGATGAGACCTTCGTCACCTGGGTCCTTTCCGCTCTGCATGATATTCAGAATTCCCTAGCCCTCTGTGGTTGCCCCTATATCCTTGGTAACACACTTCTGGTCTCTCTTCCCATCTTTGTGCTGCGTTTTCATTGGCTGCTACTCTGAACCCCAGAAGTGGCTGCATTTGCTGCCTGTGTATAGTGGGGCCCTTTGGGATGAGAGGCTGTGACACACATGGCAATTTCCTGTAGTATCCTTGGAAAAACCTTATTGGATTAAGTTCAAGTACCTTTTGAGTCTCTTCTAGTAGTTGCAAAGGTTAAGTATTATTATGGGCCTGGATAGTCCAAGGACTATACTGAACAATGTGGCAGACACGAATGAAGTGGTTTTGCTGGGAAATTTCTAGGGGGAGATGAATGCAAATTCCCTACTCCCGGTTATGCACAACCCCAGTCTTTTGCAATGGGTGGACCTCTGTCTGCTGATCACCTGTTACATGAGGCTAAGATCAAAGGACAGACTGAACTGTTCTGGTTCTGATTGAGGACTGTTGTACACTTGTAACCACAGGAAAAACCTTGTGTTGGGGTTTGAAGGGCTAATTCCTACCAGAGCCCTTCTTGGAGTTGGGGGTGAGCTCTGGTAAGCATGTGTATAGGTTCTTTACTGTTTTTAAGACGTGGTCTCTGTGATACTTTCACCTTAAGAATAAATGTGCTTGCTTAGAGCTGCATGGTAGCTTGTGATTGCTTGCTCTCCGAAGAGCTGGAATTGCCAGCAAAGAGCAGATGCTGGCCTGTTCAGGCAGTCTGGCTTGTTCAGAATATCCCAGTGCAGGCAGGGAGCTGTGCAGCCTGGAAAACCCTGGCCAGGAGGGAGTGAGATGCGGGTCTGCACCCAAGAGTGGGGATGGCTGAGGAGCTTAACAGGTGGGGGCCCTGGCTACAGGTGCAGTTGGCCTGGATTGTGACAGAGGCGTTGTATAAGATGAGCTGATTGCATGTTGCAGCATGTGGCAGTCTCCCTACTGGAGAGAGTTGTGGAGCCATCCCCACGCCCTGCAGCAGGCCTAGCCGGGGAACCAGGTTGCACTGGCGGGTGGGCGGGGAGTCTCGTTTTCTGATTGCCTTTGGTCAGCGTGTCCAGCACATTGATCTCGAAGGCCAGGGCTTCGGAGCTGCCTGGTGCTGTGCTTCCTCTCCCCACCGCCTCGTCTGCTCTAGAGTGGCAGGGGAGGGAGGGTCTGGCTGCAGATTGAAGTCATCCCTCTCCCCCTCCTCTCCTGCCTTTTCTCCCCACACCAGGAAGCTCAGTAAAGTGGCACCTGGAGCAGCATCCGTGGAGTGTTTGTCGAGTGTTTTAGCAAGTGCTTTGAAGCAGTGAGTGCAAGAGAGAATCATTGACTCACATCAGGAGCCTAAAGCCTATTGGCCCTCCGCCAGCTCTGTGTGGCTGCTCCACCCGGCTGGCTCCGGGTCCCAATGCTCAAGTTCCAAATGGCTCATCCCATGACCCAGATTCACTCCTTGTCCCCCCCCCCAATCTGGGATCCCTTCCCTGCATGAACACAGGCACACACGCAGTGAATGACTCTTGTGGTTGTGTCCCATCCCCTGGCTGAGGGGACGCCAGACCGGCTGGGTGCATTGGAAGGATCATTCCATTGGAACTGGCGGGGCGGGGGTTCTTTCCTTTTAAAAACGAAATGCAGAAAAAGCCAGAATAGGAATTTCTCAAGTTTACCCCTTGAAGGCTGCTGTTTCCCATGCCGTGTTCCTGAGGGAGGTCAAGTATGTTGGTGGGCATGTGGGTAATGCTAGCCTTCCGGAAGCGCAAGGGTTAATGCAAGAGTTCTTCCGCCCACGCCAAGGCATGTCTGGGGCTGCGTCATAACACGGCAGGGTGAATGTCTCCGGCATCTGCTCCCCCTTCTAATCCAGCGTGGCGCTTGGCAGTGAGATGCCCATGCCCACAGTGTGGTCTGAGCACAGCACTGGGAGCCAGGACTCCGGCGCTCCCTCCCAACTTTGCCAGTGATTCATTGTGACCAACAGGAAACCTTCACTGGTCCTTTGTGCCTCAGTTTCCCTATCTCTAAGACGGGGGTGATGGCCTCTGCCTCCCCAGATGCTCCGATGCTGCAGAGAGGAGGGCCATGGCAGTACCTGGACAGATGGGTGTTGGGAGGCTGAGCTCAGTTGTGTGTCTGATGGCTGCAGTCCAGCTCCCTCCTGTCCCTGTGCAGTGAGTCAGCACCAGGGGGAGACGCTAGCGATCTGCCAGCGAAATTACCTGGAAGAAGTGGTTGGCTCCAGCTACCTCACCATCCCCTCCTCTGCGCAGAGCCAGCGCCCTGTGTGTCTCTGTTCATGACTAGCTATAGTGCTGGGATGCATTTCCCGAGAGCCCCTTGGCCCTGCTGGGTGGAGCTTATGTCATGCTGGGCAATGCGGCCAAGTGGATGGGGAACTAGCTTGGGAATCTGGAGACTTGGGTTCAGTTCCTAGATCTGCTGGGTGACCTTGGGAAAGTCGCTTCCCCCTTTCTGTGCCTCAATTTCCCCATGAGTAAAATGGGGGACAGTGGGATTTCCCTCCCTCCCAGGATGTGGAGCAGTTTCCCCCTTCCCAGTTGCTGCAGTGCCTCCCAGTGGAGGGCTTGGGAAGTGCCATGTGCTGGCCTCACTCAGTCCACACCCCAGTGCCCTCATTGTTGATCTCTTGTCTCTCCCAGGCTGCAGGCTCAGTCCAGAGTAAGGTGCTGCCCAAGATGAGCTCCTCATCGCTGCTGGAGGACAGCTCCATAGATCCCCCGGTGCTGCTGACCGACATCAAGACAGAGCCCCCCGAAGAGCTGCTGGCCAGCGACTGCAACCAGCCCCAGGCCGAGCCAGTGGACCTGTCACTCAACAAGCCCAAGGTGTCGCTGCAGTCCTCCACCCTGCTGCCCTCCTCCATCAGGTCCTCGCCCATGCTGGTGGCGCCGCCCATCCAGGCCCCCGTGGTCTCCATGTCACCCACGGGGCTGGGCTCTTCTTCTGCCATCCCCGCTGTGCTGTCTCCTGGCTCCATCCTGGCCTCCACGCAAGGCAGCGGGGGCCAGCAGATCCTGCACGTCATCCACACAATCCCCTCGGTCAACCTGCCCAGCAAGATGGGCAACTTGCAGACCATCCCAGTGGTGGTGCAGTCCCTACCCGTGGTCTACACCACGATGCCCACAGACGGGGTCACCGCTGCCATCACCGTGCCCCTCATCGGCGGCGATGGCAAGAACGCCGGATCCGGTAAGGGCTCACTTCCCCTCCCCGGGGCTGTGGGTTGGGATTGAGGAGTGTTGGCAGAGCTGTGTGTGCGGGGCTGTGGGTCAGGATTTGAGGAGCATCAGCAGAGATCGGTGAGTAGGGGAGCCCAGAGCAGGAACCACTGAGAGATGGGAGAGGGGGGTTGTGGGTAAGGCTTGGGGAGCCCAGGGTGAAGCAGCAGTTTGGGATTTGAGGGGTATTGGCAGAGCTGTGGAGGGATACCAGAACTGGCCCAGCTACGGACAGATTGGACCATGGAGACTGGACCCCTGGAGGTGGGATCCTTCTTGGGCAGGGCTGAAGCACGTTGGCTGGAGGCACCATGTGGGAAGATTGCCCTGCCGCTGACCCAGTTCCATGGCAGAGCTGTCCATCTGGTACCTTTCACAAGGGCTAGCGTCATAAGGCAGCAGCCAAGCCAGGGCTTCATAAGGTCCTGTTGGCTCTGCTCCCAGAGCGTGATGAAGCCCATCTGTCTGGGTGTGGGAGGAAGCCTGGTGTGCCGGCACTGCTGTAATGGGCAGGCATCATGTGGTGCCCAGCGGGCAAACGCCTTGCCTCCTTGCTTCGCCTGTAGGTGCATGACGCTGCATGATGCTCCCCTGACCCCAAGTGGCCAGTTGTGGTAGTGGCAGGTGGGCTGTCCCTTCTCCATGGGCTCTGAGTTCAAACCAGGCAAGAGGGAGCCACTCCCTGGGAGCAGGACTGAGTGTCTAACTTCATGTTCCAGCCGGGCTTGTTTGTGTCAGCCGTGCCGGGTGCTCAGTCACTTCCCAGGAAATGCAGCATGTGCTTGGGAAGGCGCAGCCCGGCCTGGCAATCAGAGAGGCTGTTGGGTGTCCTGGCTGCACTAGCGTAGTTGGGATCTGCTCCGCTGGCCCCTCTCTGGCCAGAGCCCTGGGTGTCTGTGTGAGTCCCATCTCAGATTTCCCCCCCGCCCTGCCAGCTGATGGGGTGGGGAGGAGAGTGTGTGTGGGAGGTTCTCCCTAAAAGCCTGGCTCAGTTGACTTCTTCCCTGTTCTTTGAGAGCCCTGGCTGCCCTGGAGCTGCTCTCTGGGGATATGGGGTGGCACTCAGCTCCTGGCAGGAGCACTTCAGTGTGCCTGGGACTGATGGGATTGGTCGGGAGGGGCAAGGGGTGCTCCCCAGTTGCAGGAAAGGGGTGGGTTTGCAGCCACACTTTCACAGGTGGTCCTTGACTCTGGTTGCCTCAGTGCTTGGGAACCTGGCTTGGGGCCCCTTAGCGTGTCCAACAGGGCCCTGTGAAACCGGATACCCAGAATTCAGGACCACCTGTGGAGGATGGAGGGGAGGTACTGAATGGGCTATTTCCTGGCTAAGTGTGTTGGGGGCAGGGTGGTGGTCCTGTTTGGGGGAGGGAGGGGAGTTTTCCCAGTTGGGAGATGAATATGATTCCTACTGGAGGAAGGGAGTTTCCCTATTCTGCACGTGCGCGCACACACACACACACACACACACATGCTGTGGGTTGGGCGGGATCCTACACACACACGCGCACACACACACGCACGCACTCTGTGGGTTGGGCGGGATAGCTCTCTGTTTGGGGGATGGGTGTGATTCCTGTCAGAGGCTGGGGAGGGGGTGGGATTGGGATGGGTCCCAGCTCTGTGTGTGTTGGGGGTGGGTTTGATTCCCAGCTGGCTGAGCAGAACTGGTAGGCGTTGGGTGGTTCCCAGCTGCGGGGAGGGGATCAGCCACCCCTCACAACTGCCTGGCAGGCCCCACTCTCCCCCATCTGTTCCAGTTCTCATGCTGCGCCCATCACCTTGGGCTCAGTGCCTGTCTCTTTCCCACACTGCTTGGAGCTGCATGGCAGAGCTGGGATTTCTGCCTGGGGGGACTGTGTGGGGGCAGGCCCCCCAGTGCCGGGGAGCCGCCTGGCTCTGCGGTCGAGTTGCCGTGAGTCAGTCATGGGAGGAGGCTGTCTGTCTGCCCTCCATCCTGGGGAGTGGGGGAAGGGGGGCAGTTTGGCAGGCTGTCTTCTCCCTCGCCGCAGGGTGGGGTCCTGACCTCCCCTCCCAGGCCCCCCCCCGCGGCTGGCTCCAAGGCTGCTCTGGTTCCAGTTAGACTGGCTCCCCCCACTCCCAGCACTTCCTGCCTCCCATCCGGCAAGCAAAGAACTCCCAGGCGCTTCCTGTCGGAGGCCCTGGCTGGTTCCCCTCTGGCCAGGGACACGTGTGGAAGTTGGGGGGGCGGGAGTAGCTGAAATGAACCAGGAGCAGGGGGAGGGGGAGTCTTTATGATGGCTGCACCTACGCTCCAGTGCCTTGCCCAGGGGGTGAGGAGGGGATAAGGTGGTGGGGCTGGACCTGGGTCGTGGGGTTTGGATCTGGGTCTCAGGGATGGGGCGGGGGAGAACTGTTGGGCCCCATACCTGCCCAGGCTGCCAACCCCCTCCCCCAACCCCATCAGCTGTGCCAGGTATCCTGCTCTGGGGTGCGAGCTGGACCCTGTCCAGCTCTGTGACCGCCTCCTGTGCTGGGCGTGTCGAAGGCCCCGCTGTCCCCTCAGAGCAAGGGTAGGCCTGTCTCAGCCCACTACAAGTGTCTGGTGGGGGCTGAGATGCTGCCAACCCACTGCTAGCTTGGGGTGCTGCCTCCCACTGGACAGATCAGCAGGTTTTTCCCCGGAGCTGGGGTGAGCTGGGCTCTGGGGCTGGGTGCAGTGCTGTGGGCTCAGGCTGGGAACCTTCCCCACTGCCCCAATTGCCCTGTCTGTCCAGTCCCCCGCACCCCATCCAATGCCATCCCCCTGCCATGCCAGGCAGCTCTCTTGTGCTGCTGGCTCATAACCCTGTGACTGGGCAAGGGGCAGGAGACGTGGGTTCAGAGGGGGCTCAGGGCTCCGGTGCTGGGGGGGCCAATGTCACTGACAGCTCTGGGCAGGGGTGAGGCGACCAATCCCTGCAGCCCAGGGGAAGGACCCTGTGGGTTCTGGGTCAGGGAGGGGAGCGTTATCCCATGGTGCACTGGCTTTGGTCCCTGGGCGGAGCTGGGGACAGAGCAAGGTGACGTGGCTCTGGGTCTGTCTCTGGTTTCAGTGAGTCTCTTTCCTCCCCAGTGAAAATTGACCCCAGCTCCATGTACCCCCTGGAGATGAACAGCGACAGCGAGGACAGTGTCACAGAGAGCAGCTCAGCCCCCTTCCAGGACCTGCAGAGAGAGTGAGTGGCAGCCACACACTGCCCTGGACTATGGCTAGGGTGGGCCCACTTCTTGGTGCTAGCGCTGGGGTTGGCGCCCGCGTAGCACAGGGCTGGGGGGCGGAGGAAGCAGAGCTTGCCTATTGGGCCTGTCCCTCCTCTGCCAAGACCCTGCAGCAGCAGCAATGATGTGGGTGCCCTGGCAGCATCACTGCCCTCCGGTCTCAGCATTCCAACGCCACATCCGCCTGTAATGACGATGGGCACCTCCCAGCAGGGGAGAGAGTGAGTATCAGCTTCCCCTCCCCCACGTTGATGAGGCTGCACAAAGCTGCTTCATAAATGACTGCCCAGGGCACTGGCATGGTGATACCTACCATAGCCAGATTCCACCCCCACAATGGGTAAGGCTAGCCCTGGGGTGGGGGGATGGTTCCCTGGTTGCCACGAGTCAGGCCTAGTCTGCTGCAAGGGGCTGTGCCAGCCCAGAGGGAGAGGGTGGGGCCCCCAGGAACCCAGCGCTGGGTGACACTGCTGTCTCCCCCTGCCCAGGTCGCGGTCGCCTGTGACCCGGATGCAGCGGGCTGAGTCCCCCGACTTGAAGAAGAGGCGGATTCACCAGTGTGACTTCGAGGGCTGCAACAAGGTGTACACGAAAAGCTCCCACCTCAAAGCACACAGGAGGATACATACAGGTAGGGCTGGGCGGGGCAGCCTGTGGCACACTGCTGCCAGCCCAGGGTGGCTACACCCCAGAGCCGTCCCACCGCCCAACTGGGGGACCTCGGTGCTGTGGGGGAGGACGACGACTCCCACACGGGCCCATCGCCCCCCACGGACTTTCTGCTCACCATAGCAGAGACCAAGGCGTGGCTGGGCCATGGACGCTGAGGTCCCCTTACCACTAGAGACAGGATAAGGTCAGCAGGGCAGAACCTTGCCCTGCCAGGGCCCGTGCTGACTCTGCTCAGTGGAGGGGCTGCTGTAGGGCTGACCTTGCGCCAGCGCTGAATTGGCTCCAGTACAATCCATGAGTGGCAGTGTCTGATGGATTGAGATTCCCTGCCCCACCAGGGCAGGGGTAGTTGGGTACCAGCACAAAGGTAGCTGCACTGGGAGCTGGTGTGTCCCTTCCTACACAGTGCACTTGGGCTGGGATCCCCAGAGGAGGCAGAGGGTGGGCAGTGCTGTGGGGTAACAGGGAACTCACAACTCAGTTTGGCTTATTTTTGTTCACCTTGGCTTAACTCCAATGGCTAGTGAACTGTTTGGAGAAAGGACTTCTCTTAAAAGGCCAGCAACCCTGCTCCTTTTGTGAGCTCTCCAGCCTGAGAGAGAGCACGGCTGAGACCCCCACCAAGTCCTCCTACGAAACCAGATATGCCCTAGTTCAGCGTTTCTGGGACTCCTCTGTGATCATGCCCTGCATCTCCAAGACCCTGAGCTCCTCTCCACCTTGGCTTCGTGCCTCTCTGTGTGCCCGGCTCGGAAGGCGCAGGGGCATGCCCTGTAGCCGAGAGAGCCCGAATGCCCAGTGACTCCAGTCCAGGGTTCTCAGTTTGGGAAGCTGTGAGCCATGTGCAACCTTCTCCAGACTACACTGGTGGGGAGCTTTTTAATTAGAAGGCAATTCCAGCTGCCAGCCCTCAGGGTTAATTGCGAAAGGAGCCATGCTGCTCCGGGCTCACAAAAACCCACCCACAATCTGTGCAGGCCCTGACTCTCTCTGCGTATGGTTCTGTCCTTGCTCTGCTTGCATGGGTGTGTAGTTCTCAGATGACCACCAGGGGGTAGACATCTCCCTTCTGGACACAGCTTCCAGGTGCTGGGTCCTCATTTGATTTGAATGCGTGGCCTTGAAAGCTGAGGGTTGAGGGTGAGAAGATTCATATGCTCTGGGGGCTAGAGGAGCTTTGTGACTGGGTGCCATGGGCTTCCAGATGAGCTGCTGGAGCAGGCTAACTGGGACATATGGCATGTCATACTGAAGGGATATTGTGCTGGATCCTCTAAGGCATTTAGGCACCTAAGTCCTATCGGAATCAATGTCTTTGAGGCTCATGGCCATTAGTGCGTTTTGCTGATCATGATCCCCCGAGGCTGATCCCTGCTCTGCTTCATGGGACACACACACACACACACAGAGTGCTGTCCCTCCTGGCTGCTGCATCTGGTCCTGCCCAGCGAGGCTGTAATATATAGGGCTACGTACAGTGCAGCGAGAGGACTCACGCCCTCTCCATACCCTCCACTTGACAGGCTCAGCTCGGGATAGAGGGTGGTAAATACACTTCTCCCTGGACTGCAGAAATCAGGGGGCTGTTCAGCCATCCATCCATCTCCTCACCTTGCCCTGATCTCAGGGCAGCGCCCCCCGCAGTTCAACAGCTGATCCCTGCATACAGGAAAGCCTGCATACTCTCAAGGGCGGATGGATCCCCCCCCCAAATTAGTTGTTCAGTAGGATCAAGGGGTCCCCCAAACTCTGAATGGGGTTTTATGGGTGTAACTGAAGGCAGGATTGGGACCACTATCCTGTAATCCCTGAGGCACACGGATGAAAGATCCATTCCTTTAGAGAGCCATCAGGAACACCGCATTATAATAATCCATCTGACCACGAGATGGCACCATTTCTCCACGCAAATCCAGCTGAAGCTGACAAGGCCGTTTGTGCCAAGATTTAGAAAGCCTGCCTGCTCCCAGTCAGACTGAGGCAGGGATTGCACTGCTTGATCCTTTCTGTCTTAGGTATTTCTCTGGTCCACATCACTGCAGCATCTGACCAGATCACTGTCTTTACAGCACCCGAGCGCTGTAGGGCAGTGCTGTTATCCCCATTGTACAGAGGGGGAAATTGAGGCACAGAGTGGCTAAGTACCTTGCCCACGGTCACACAGGAAATCAATGGCAGAGCAGGGAATTGAAGCTGGCTGGGCCACAGCCCAGGCTAGTGCCAGCCTTCCTCTCCAACTTCTAATGAGACTCTCTGCAAGCATCCAGAACTAGCCGCTCTTCAACTGAACCCACTTCAGCGAAGGCAGGCAGAATGCGAGTGTAGCTGTTAAAACCAACAGGGAGAGCTGTGGGATAGAGGGAAGGGACGGAGTCTAACCTGAATAGACAGCACCATGGGGGGCGTGGAGTAGAGGACCTTCCTGCACTGGCCAAGGGATGGCTAATCAACAGGTCTCTTCTGTCCCGGATTTCTCTGGCCCTAACAAGGAAAACCTGCCTCCCCAGTTGCTCTGCTCCGTGCATTATCTTCCCAGTGAACTGAGTCCAGTTCTAGGTCTCTGTCTACACAGCCATAGCCCCTTGGGTGCGATTACATCTATTGATCATGCCATGTGTTTTAGCAAACAGTGCATTTTGAACTTTGTGGGGAATTCTGAAAGTGTTCCTTAGCACTGTTTCTTTTTCATATCCCCCTGCCTGAAAGCTGCTTTGTCTCAGTATCATGAGCCCAGCTGGAGAGAGAGAAAACAAATACAGTTCTAAACCTCCTAAATAATCGAAAATAACCATTTCTATACAAAAGGACGTCGCCCTGCTCTCCAGCCCACCCGTTTCATACCATGGGAGAGGGGCTGTGAACAGCACTCGGATGCTCTGAAATGCTTGCGTGGTATGTGCATAACCCCTGCAGCTGAGGGGCATTTAACTCCGATGTCCTGTTGCTCCCATCTCTGCCCTGATAATCTAACAACACTCACAACAGTATCCTAGTAACCCATCCCCTTACCCACCCACACAGGTATCCTAGCAACCCAGGCCAGTATCCTAGCAGCCCCTCCGGTATCCTAGCAACTCCTCCAGCCCCTTGTCTCATGGAAGCTCATCCCCGCCCCCCACTTACGCCAGCAATAATAACAACCCTCTGCAGGGGTACATGGCTCCTTCAAGCCGAGGATTGCCTAGGTCTTGACAGAGCCTCCTGGTGTCTCAGATACCTCTTCAGGTTTAGACTCCAGCTGGCAAACCTACAGCATGAGGTGACGGAAATGCCAGCCCAGAGGCATTCCAAGATGGTTATAGCAGTTTTTATTGTGGATTGTTTTTTATGTTATTATTACACCTGCTTAATGTCAATGACTAAATAACATTTTGGAGAAGGGAAGTTTCTGTTAAAGGTTCAAAAGCCTCCTCCCTTCCACCAAGCCACAGCGTGCTCCGATTGCTTGTACCTCCCTGAGGTCTTCCAACAGAGCCAGGAGAGAGCAGACGTTCCTGGTGCTTCTCAGGAGAAAAAGAGGCAGGGCCTGTGTCCTTACCATGTGACTGTGCAGCAAGGATGAGGCCCTGATCTGGGTAAATGCCTGTGGGTGCTACTGTAATGCACCTAATAAATAACTGAGATCAGGCATTATTACTAATTAAGAGCCTACAGGCCTTAATATCTGATCTTGGTTAAGGCTTGTATGTGCTGCTGTGGTGCCCCTAGTAAGTTATAATGCCTCATCTCTGCTGAGGGCCATAGGTGATACCATAATGCACCTAATAGATACTGCCTGATTTGGACTGAGGCCGGTGGGTGCTGCCATAATAGGTAGAAGTTTGATGTGTGCCCAAGCACTGAGCTGTCCCCTCTGCTCCCTGTGTAGGAGAGAAGCCGTACAAATGCACCTGGGAAGGCTGCACCTGGAAGTTTGCCCGCTCCGACGAGCTCACCCGGCATTTCCGCAAGCACACGGGCATCAAGCCCTTCCGCTGCTCAGACTGTGACCGCAGCTTCTCGCGCTCGGACCACCTGGCCCTGCACCGCCGGCGGCACATCATGATGTGAGGGGGGGGGGGGGGGGGGGCTCCAGCTCCTCCACCACCCCCGGCCGCCCACCCCCGCCTCACCGGCCACGGCGAAGAGACTGCGAGACGGGAGGCACCGTCCCCAGCTTGATTCAGCCTGGCAGCAGGCTGGATGCCAGCTTGGCACCTGTGGCTGCCCACACGTGAGAAAGCAGACCTCCTACCATGCACACGAGGGGTAGAAAGAGGCTCTGGAGAGATGCCCTGCTCCCTCTCTTCTGTTCACCTCCCCTTCCTTCAGTGGCTGGAAAGCCCCAGGATTCCTTGAAATGGCACCCAGCTCCTCATCTGGCTTCGATTTTTTTGCACATTGCCTCCCCCTCCTGGGTCAGGAAACACAGAGGATGTCCGGCACGTGTGTGCACAGCCCCAGCTTGTCCCAGCGCGACCCTGGCCTTCGCGAGCGAATCAGACTGGCCGGACGGCATCGCTGCTAGCAGAAGGCTGCTGCTGGGGGTTGGATTGGGGGTTTGGCTCATGGCTAGGGGCTGGCTGTCTCCTACCAACGGGCTGATGCAATAGGACTCTGTTCTGGTGAAGCTGGCACTGCCGCCTCTCCTGTTCCACGACACGTCATACGTGGCTTGTCCTAGCTGGTCCGTTGGACTCCCTGAGCTCCCGAGGCACTGCTGGCATTGGAGAGCCCGCCTGGACTTGGCTTGATCTTTCTCTTTTATGAACACGTGGGTAACTGGCCGTTAACGAAGAGGCCTCATTATGTGAGGACAAGGGGTTTGTGGTGTTACCTGAGGAGGGAGGGCCCGAGGAACAAAGAAAAGGGAAAACTTTGCGGAACATGGAACTGTGATGATTTTATCTGATTTTAGGGGTGGGTGGGTTGGGGACCCTGAATTCTGCCCATGCTGCAGGGCCAAGGAATAGGACAGTAGATGCATTTCTAACTTAAACCTAGCAGCCTGGACACGGACTGTTGCATTTTTCTATTGCTCATCTGGCCTGCAGAGGCTGAGCCGGCACTGCACTCTGGGTGGACTCACGGGGACTCTGTACTGGATCGTTTTGGACTTGATCTTGGGGGGCTGACGGGGTGGCCACAGGGCTGGAAATATGTCCGTGCACAGTTGATTTTTTTTTTTTTTTTAAATTGCTTTTCCCCTTCCCTTCTGCAGGGGCGGAGCTAAGAACCTGATGCCTTTCCAGATGCTCCTTTTTGTGTCTCCATTTTTCTTTCTGATGGATTTGAGTTTGGCAAATGCAGGGATGGAGTGCACCTGCCAGACAGCATCTGTGCTGCCCTCGGGAAAGGGGGCGAGTGCAGTGGCTGGAATTGGTGAGGGGAGGGAGCCGGGAAGGAGAAGATCGTCAAGATGAGGCAAACTGGATCCTCGTTCTGCCACCAGCCTGGGCTAGGGATGTGGTGTTCCAGCTAAAGCCAAGAATCTGCCAGCAATCCTGGTATTGACACGATGTATATGCTGAAGGGGAGAGACTGGGGAGTCCCGTTAAATGTTTGGTGCTGCCCCTGGCTCTGCTTATCACATTGTTTCCCCTTTGCTTCCCAATCCAGCTCAGCACTGAGTTCATGTAGGCCCCCCAACTGCATTTCACTGGGCAGATTCTCTTTCTTCCTCGCTTCCCTTTCATTTAAGAAGGCTCTTGATCCATAGGTGCCAATTCTGTGGGTGCCCCTGGGCTCAAGCACCCACTGAAAAAAATAGAGGGTGCCCAGCAGCTGCAGGTCCTGATGAATCTTTTGTGGGCCCTGGCGCCTGGACCATGGCCCCCACCTGTGCTCCACCCCCTGTTCCACCCCTGCTCCGCCCTGAGGCCCCGCCCTCTCTTGGCCCCCCCCCCCCCCCCTCCCACGCGACTAGCCGCCAGGGAGGGGGGGGGCGGAGAGGAGCACCCACCCGCAAAAACAAAAGTCAGTGCCTGTGTTTTGATCAACTCGCCACCCACTGCAGCTCCTTCACGCCTCTGTGGAACCTGGAGCCAGTCCATAGCAGGGGAGGAAGAGGCATGTGGCCGCTATCTGTCTGTGGGTTGTGCAGCGAGATCCCAAGCCCTGCCTCTGATGCAGGCCAGCCCCCCTATGAAATGATCTCCCTAGGCATTGCCCCTTCCTCCAAGGGCGTGAACAAGTCCTCCTGCATGAGGGCAAATCCCACAGGGCCTGCTGCCCTTTCCAGAGCTTGAAGCTGCAGGATGAGGTTCCAGATGGGCTGGTATTTGAAATTCCATTTGGGTCACTTTGCAGCTGGCAGCTCCATGGGGAAGTACATTTATTTCATCCGAACTTCAATCCTCAGCCTACCAGGAACACAGATCTGCCTGGACTTTTCCCATCCCCCACACTCCTGTTACCTGGGTGTTCTCAGTGTTGCCAACTCTGGCTGTTTTGGGTGTTTTTCTTAAAGCTGCAGGACCTGGACTCAGGTGACAATCTCAGCTTTCATTGAAAAGCAAAGGTTTTCCGACCTTCCTGGTTGTGGAGCAAACTTTGAACATGTGACCTCTAAAGGCTCCGAGAGAGAAAAAAGCCCCCCAACTGTTTTATAAAAATCTCATGATTTTTAAATCAATCTCATGAATTTTTATGGAGAAGGGGATTTGACTCATGATTTTTGAACGCTCAGGGTTGGCAATACTGAGATGAGATCTGGGAAGCTGACAGGCTGTGTGTTTTGATTTTAATTTCTTCAATCTGCTGTTTCCCGAGCGTCAGTGCAAAACACACACATGCACACACGCAACAGAGCACAACAAGAAAGCGAGGAGGGCAAGAGACGTCAAACGGAACGTTAGCTCCCCTCTGTCTGAGCAGGGCAGGCTTTGCTTTGGGATTTTTACCATGAAATTTTAAAATCTTGAGCTGTGAGATATTTGTACAAAACTGTTTGACGTTTTTCTACATGGGAATAATATGGAAAGTAGATGCATTTTATTGGTGTGTGTCTTGCTTTTAAAAAGAGTTTTTTTATCTTTTGGTTGGTGGGAGGCAAAAGGCTGTAGTTTCAATCCTACATAAAAACAAATCCCCCTTTCCTGGTTCTCAGCATGATCTCTATAAAGGGAAGAAGTTGTCAACTACAGTTTTGGGTTCCAAAATTTAGATTTCAGCCCTCCCAACCCCAAATAAATAAATAAAAAAGGCTTTTACAAAACTTAAGAGCAATAGACCTATTTCTATGGAGTTTTAACAATATAATTCTAAAGAAAATAGCATTTACATTTAGAATTTGGAAGTAGACATTTGAAAATTTCTTTAAACAAATAAGACCCTCCCTTGAAGTGTTTGCAGCCCAAACATTGCAGGGCTGGGAACCCAGAAGTGAAAGGACTGCAAGCAGAAGTGAAACTGACCTCTTGGGTTGGCAGTGTTGAGACAGGGAGAACTGTAGACTGCCTGCAGACTCAAACGATATGGGAAAGAATGGGATGCTTCAAATTGTCTTCGGATACCATGATCCGAGATGGTGTTAGTAGCCAAGACTATATTATTAATAGAGCTGGTTTTGTGAAAAAGTTTTGAAATTGTTTTCTTTTTGCAAGGCTCAAAATGAACCCATTTATTTTCACTATTCTTCTCCCCCGCCCCTTAATTTGTCTTTTTTCAACAAACTCATTTTTTCCCCATTCCTATTGAAAATGGCAGGGGTGAGGAAAAGAAGGGGGACAGAAGAAAAGAAGGAGAAAAGTAAAAGTAGAAAAACAATACATTTCAAATAAAACATTCATGAAAAGTTTCCAGAACAATTTTTGCACATGCACAAATTTTTGGGATGCAAAAAAATTGTGACCAGCTCTAATACACGAACATTGAAAGATGGTGTTATTGATGCCTGAGTCGGTTCTTAGCCTTGCTCAGTTGCTCTATTCCACCCTCCTCTCCTTAAACTACTAACCAGCTGCCTGCTGGATTCAGTAGCTAGGAGAGAATGCAAGGACAAACTGCTGGAGGCTTCACTGCCTCGTCTACACTATGAAAAATAAAATAACCAGAAGTCTGATTTTCAAAGTAGTCCCCAAGCCCACCCCTGCTCCCATGGATTTCAGTTGAGTTGTGGGTGCTCAGAATCTCAGACAACTGGGCCCTACGGGCCAGGGCCCAGATCCTCCAAAGTCTTTAGGTGCTTTACTCTTATTGAAATCAATGGGCATTAGGTCCCTAAATACCTTGGCAGTCTGGGCCCAGATCCTCAGCTGGTGTCAATGGTCGTAGTTCCGTGGAAGTCAATAGACCACTGACAGTTTTACGCCGGCAGAGGATTTGGCCCTTTGGGTATGTCTACACTGTGATTAAAAACCTACGGCACCGAGTCTCAGAGCCCACCCCCCTCGTGGGGTCTCAGAGCCCAGGCTCCAGCCCTAATGTCTACACCGTAATTGTATAGCTCTGCAGCCTGACCTCCATGAGCCCGAGTCAGCTGACCCAGGCCAGCTGCAGCCGTGTCATGGGCCTTTTACTGCAGTGTAGACTGGGTGTGTTTAAACTGTTGTGAAATATGGTTTGCTTCAGTGCGGATTGGTTTTTTGCCTCTTTACCCCGAGGTGAGGGAGGAAAAGTTAAGGCCCCAGGTTCTTGTCTAGATATTTACCACGGTTAGAACTGAGTTCCTTGCCCTGATTATAACCGTGGGGTTTTTCTGTGCCACGTGGGGACAAAAATACCCGAGTCAAGATTTTCAAAAGTCACTTTGGGTGCCTCAATTTTTAGGTGACCAGCTTCAGACTCCTTTTAAAGGGGCCTGATTTCCGGAGGGCAGGTTTTGAGCACTTCCAAGCCCCTTTAAGCTGTCTCAAGTTGGAGCCTCCCCAAAATCACCCTGTTTCCAACACACACGGGCCCAAATCAGGCTTCCCAGCACTGTTTTGAAACTTGGTTATGTTTGTAGACAGGGCATGCAGGAGTGTAGATGGGTGCAGTTTAGGGCATCGTCTGTTGGCACGCCTGAACAATCAGACCATGCTTTCTCCCAATTTAAAGCCCAACGGGGGTACTTAATTTCTGCTTCCGCT